TCAACAAAAATTTAGTCTAATCGATTGTTGTCAAACCACTATCATCAAGCTTCTACTGTCAAATCATTATAATTGGGTCACGAACGCTCGAACAATACTTCTGAATCATTGTCACTTAACCACAACCAGCTGAATGCCTTTCATCCCATGTTAACTCTATAATATTTTTTTGCTAGCTCCTTATACTCAAATAATCTTGCCATCTTCAAATTATGAGATGGGCAAATATTTATAGTCAACTCTCACCTAATGAAATTCTTTTACCTAAAAAATTTCCCCTCGCTAAAATATTGTGTCCTAACTCTTCAAACTCAAGTAATTATTCCCCTTCTTAGTTTTTTTTTCACATAAAACTTTTAGTATCACCCATGCTCTTTTATTTATCATTTATATGCTAAATCTTTATTTAAGACTAAGGTGCAAAACCCCCAAACTCTACTGTCATAAATTTTATAGCATGGAATATTTTATAGTCCCCTCACCATAGGGTTTCTCATCTTCTATAATAGAACACTTATCTCATCAACACAACTTGATATATTCATCAATCTTGTACAACTTGTGCACCTTTAGTAATCATCATCAGGAGTTTGACTTAACCCTGCCTCATTAACACCCCTTATAATGTCCTATGTGACGAACTATAACACTTGGTCCAAGAGTAATTTCCCTTAATGCATGGGATCAGCTCCCTCTTCATCAAAGTTTTTAGGAGTCATCACCTCTAACAAAATGTATCAATGCCCCATTAAAATAGGTTTCAATATAAGAAATATAAACTCTTATGATGAGGCATTTGACCCTTTCAAACATATATGTCACTATAGGATAACCATGTACACTCAACATGCCTCAAATGTGCTCCTCTATTAAGTCCTCCTTGTTAAAGGATAAGCTAGCACATAATTTTACTCTCTTATAGTAGAGACTATCAACCTTTATCAATCATGCTAGACTCTTTATCAAATAATTCATTATAGATAAAGGAATTATCTATAATGAAGTATCATATAATGAATTATCAAAGACTCTTTCCATCTTTTAACAAATTATCAAAATGAGAGATAGTTGCCTAAGGAAAACTTCAAAGGTTCTCTTCTAATGCTTGCCAATTCTTAGGAGAAGACCTTGAGTTGTTTAGAAGTGCTGTTATAAGAGGGATTTATTTGGGGACACTTTGTTAATCTTTGATGCAGGAAACAATTTACTCCAAATTTGACTTAATCCATCATGTAAAGCATAAATCTGAATCAATAATGTCATTAATGCCCATCGAAAGTAATTTGAAAAAATTACAGGCAAGTGAAAATACTCAAAGAAGTGTTAATCAACCATTTCAACAAAAAAAAACAAGAAAACAATAATGATTATGACCTTCCATAGTCAATCACATCAGAGACCAATGCCTCAACTAGAAAAGGTGAACGCACAACTCAACACCACTCACACTGATATCTTTATGGTCATATGAGATGAAAAAAATTCATTAAATGTGGCTAAATCTATTGAAACAAAACTAAAAAAACCAACAAATTATAGGCATGCCACTAAAAAATTTGAGCATTCTAAAGAAGAAATTACTAGGCTAACTTGATAGGTATATCATAACCAATTCATAAAAGATTAATATACCTATAAAGATAATTATCCTAGTAAGGGGACAACTAATGTAAAAATAGCAACAAGGCAATCGATAAATGGTTGGAGAATAGAAATTATCACCGAATGCCCACTACTATACAATCAAGTCTTCATCATTGCGTGCTTTCCAAATAAGAAGCATTATGTACACCCTCTATTACTTTTTATAAATTTGACTTGGATGGGGTCCAAATCTCACATCATCGCACGCTTCCATCAATGCATTGATAGGCAATCCATTCTTCAATCTTAAAAAAAAAAAATTAATTGATAATAGAAACTTTATTAATGTTATGTTTTACTCTATAGTTCTCAATATGGGCCTCATTATGAAGAATCTTCAGCGTATTATCAATTTGCTAAATAGATTTGATAATTGATATGTATGCATAGAAGAGAGAACCACTCTATTAGTCACACTTAAGGAATTTCCTTGACAAGCAACTTGCTCAATCTAATTTATAGTGATCAATTTAGAGTTAGCTTACAGTGCCATTTTTTAGGCCCTTTCAATCAATCTTGACTTCTAATCCACGTACATCATAAGTTAAAGTTCCTAACTTTAGTTGAGATTGATGAACGTTAAAAATCAACAGGTAGTAGCTCAGGCAAGTTAAATTTCCATTGATGATGCTTAAAAAAGCTTTGTCATCTAAAATGAAGACATTCCCTAGAAAGCTTCTACTATGGAATACTTATATCACTATATCAAAAGATCATCCTTCATAGTAATTTAAGTCAATTTTCTATTATATAGCAATAAGAAGATGGTAAATATAGGTGTCCTATATAAGAACCAATATTTGTTCTATTAGAGGTAGTAGATATGTCAGGGATTGACCTCAAAATAACCTGCACTTCCTCAAGATATATCCAACATATGAAACGATAGTTTAGAAGAAGCAAAACTTTGCATTAGATTGTTAATAAGTAATTAAATAGGATGTAGATAAGCTCATAGACGTTAGTTTCATGTGAGGGGTGCACTATTTTTTTTTTTTTTGGAATGGGGTATCCACCCGCTGCCACCTCCAAAAGGGCGCTTGGTGGCATGACTAATCCTCGGCTGACCTAGAAGAGGCACCCACCCTAGAAACCTCCTTACATGCACTTGATTGAGCCCCACTTAAGAGGCGCAGCTGCTCGAGAAGAATCGAGCACGGGTTGGGGGGTTCCCAACCGTACTCACATGAACTACTAATTTGCTTGGCAAATCTTGTTAAAGTTAATAAGGCCATAGAGCCTCAATGAGACTTTTCTTATGCCAAAGAGGTACAAAATGCAACTCAAAACACTAAACGATACATTTTGTAAGGGTTTGGAAAAGTTCCTAAGTCAAGACAATACTCGAGAAGTCATCACAAAAAATCATCCAAAACATGCAGGGACTTTTTGGGTGAATCATCAAGCTTAATCAATCCATTTCTAGGTCAAGTGAAAGGTGCTCACTCTTCTTCAAAATTCTGAGAAATGTAAAAAGATATTTTTTGGTACTAATATTATAATGCTGCATTTTAACAACTCAAACTCCTTTCCTCATTGCTAATACTTTAAAGAATTGGGATGGCTCTCATCCTTATATTAGAATGAAGAGCTCTAAAATAAGAGCATTAATACAAATGTGATTTAAATTAAAAATAAATCCATTTAGATGTAATTAATTAATTTTATATCTAATATTTAAATTCAAATTTTAATTTATATACCATTCTATTTTTGCTATATTAAAAATATTAATAATTGTTGTGTCCAGTAGTATTCGTGGTGGTAGAGAAATATAAAATTAACGTCTTGGCATTAAACGAAAATCCAGCACGCAATCAGATAAGAGAGAGTGTGTAGCATTCTCATGAGACACCAATATTTTTACGTGGAAAATCCCTGAAAAGGGGGAAAAAACCACAAGGCCTAGCCCACTTTGAATGAATACACTAGTATTGTAGTTGATTACAAATGAAGTCCTTCCTTGGGGGAAGGCCTTAGCTTGATGTACATCTTATGTAGTACATTACATGATGTTAATATAAAGAGTCATTGTTGACGTGTTCGTTTGGTCGGAAGGACCGTAGTCGACGGGCCACGGAGGTCTGAAGGCTTGTAGTCGGCGGGCGACGTAAGTCAGGAGGACCGTAATTGGTGGGCGACGTAAGTCAGGAGGACCGTAGTCGACTGGCGATGGAGGTCAGAAGAACTGATGTCTGATGATGAAGGTCAGAAGGACGGTGTTAGGTAGAAGTCCAACAATGGAAAGAAATCCATCTTCGCATAGACGTCTAGCGAAGTCCGATAACTGGTAGAAGTCCAGCGTCAGGTAGAAACTTGGCGAAGAGTGAAGGTTCGGTGTCGGGTAGAAGTCCGACGTCTGTTGGTGGACGAGGAGAACTCAAGCATCACTTAGGCGGAGTTTCGGCGTCAGGAGGGAACTCTGTCATTAATTGAGAAGAATTTCAGCATCCCGTGGAAGTTAGGCAGAATTCTGGCGTTCTCCCGAATATCCGAAAGAATCCCGGCGTATTTGGGCAGCGGGAAGAACTCCGACGGTGGTCGAGGAGGAGCTGATTCTCCTTCCCCTTATCTTCTTCTTCCCTTCTTCCTCTTGCTTCGGTCACCCTCTCATGAGAAATGAGAGCTCTATTTATAGTTTTTCTGGAGTAGCATGGCCTATAAATAGAAGAGAGATCAGGGGCGAGTCGGGAGTGGTTTGAATGGACGGCTGATATTGAATCTCTTGATCGTGCACCATTTGTTGGACATTTGAAGGCCTTAGTGATATCAGAATTTGGCGATCTTGAGCTCGTTGGATTCATCTTGTCGAGCCACTCGATTCGACTATAAGCTCATTAAAATCGAAGACCGTTGGTTAACTCGACTTGTGGTACGAACTTTCTAAAAGCACTTCGGGTCCTTGATTTGGACACATTTGGGCTCGGATTGAGTTGAATTTAGTGTCGTTGGGTTCGTATTTCCGAGACGCTCAATTTGATTATAAGCTTGCTGAAATCGGAGTTCAGATGCTCCCAAATTTAATTTTTGAAGTTTTCGGGCTGATTTTGCCTCGAGATTCGTGCCTGATCAAGATAAATTTATGATGACTTACCAATAATAAAAATATTAATATAATTATTTAAAATGAATGACCTTGAATTACATTTAGATATTAAAAAGATTAATTATCTTTTCCAAAAAAAATAAATCATCCATTTAAGTATCTAGAAACATACGCGCGTGCTCATATAGCTCACTAGTCAGCATACCTGAAACCCCGTCCAGATTCATCCCATGATTCCGTTTAAATTTTTTTCTTCTTTTTGCGGTCCAGATTCATCCAGATATCCTTATTTAACCTAAATCCTGGCTGTGATCGAGACGGAACAGCGAAAGCGGAGAAAAAGGGGAATCACCGTGCAAAGTAAGGCTATGGGTCTCGAATTCGACGACGCCTTCATCCAGGCCGAGGAGCACCGGCCGAAGCCATCAATCTCAGAAGCCGGCGGTATTCCTGTCATCGACCTTTCCCCAATCATCGCCGGCGAGGGGGAGGCTTTTTCCGGCTTGGTCGCCGAGGTCGGATCCGCTTGCAAGAATTGGGGATTTTTCCAGGTGATCAACCACGGCATTGACGGCAAAGTTTTGGAGAGGATTCATGCAGCGGCGAGGGAGTTCTTTGCTCTACCGCTGGAGGAGAAGCGGCGGGTGAGGCGAGGCGAGGATAATCCGCTCGGCTATTACGACGCTGAGAACACGAAGAACGTTCGCGATTGGAAGGAGGTGTTCGATTTCGTAACAAATGAATCGGCGGAGCTCCCCGCGACGGAGGAGCCCGGCGAGAAGCGAACGGATGTTTTTTGGAATCAGTGGCCGGAATATCCTCCGGAATTCAGGTGACCGAATATCTCATCATTTTCTGAATTAAGTTTTCTTCTGTCTGCTTATTTTACGGTTATTTAATGCTTGTTGCATCTATTATCTATCTTGAGTTAATTACTAATGAAACATTAATCATTCTGCTGGTTACGAATTGCATCATCCAAGCTTATTTTAAATCGATAAAACTTAATACACTAATTCTAACACTTGCTATAAAGAAATATGTCAGCTGTGGGTGATTCTCTTCCTAAACAAGGGCCATTTAAACTTTGAGCGAGGGAAATTTAAAAAAAAAGGACTTGCTATACGTAATAGGATTTATACATAAAACTTCTATATTGGATCTACAAGAGAATTTATCTCAAATTTGAGAGGGCCAAGGGCCACCCAGTCTCACTCCTAGGTTTATTTTAGTTGATGCAAAGTCATAAATTAACCATAAATAAAATTAGATCCACTAAACATAAAGATCTGTATTATGCCTGTAGATACTGGAACACTAAATAAGGATTAATTTCAGTTCTAGTCCAAGTAAATAAAAGTTTTTGTAGAATTATTTCAGGCTAAAAAAGTGCATTTCCAACTTAGATTTATTGTCTTAATTCTGTACTATAAGTGTCATCTGCCTCAAAAGACTGAAGATGCAAAGAGATGCGAAGGATAATATAATTAACGTCAAACTTCAAATATGTTTATATTGAATATATAAAGAGTGTTTTCTCAAATGAAAAGCAAAGTTGTTCAAGCTCCTAAAATAAATATATTTCTAACACTGCTTTTATATTTTTTTTAAAAACACTGCTTCTATGATATGTCAGATCGTAGATGCATATTGATTTGAATGAATGAAAGATGTAGATCTAATATTTAAGATGGAGAAATGATTAACAATTTTAATTTGAATGTATATTTCATTGGAAATTGTAGCAGTATTCATGGTTATTTCCATGTTTCATGTTTATAATCTTCATTATCTCAATTTTAAGGATTGAACTAATTAAATGGTTAACACCAGAGATGTCTGTAAGGAGTATTCAAAGGAGGTGGAGAAGTTAGCCTACAAACTTGTGGAGCTCATATCCTTAAGCCTTGGCCTGTCTGCAAAGCGCCTGAGTAGCTTCTTCAAGGATGACATGAATTTCATCAGGCTGAACCACTACCCTCCTTGCCCGGAGCCTCAACTGGCGCTGGGCGTCGGCCGCCACAAGGATGGTGGCGCTCTCACCGTCCTCTTTCAGGATGATGTCGGTGGACTCGACGTCCGACGCAAGAATGATGGTGAGTGGGTCCGCGTCAAGCCCATCCATAACTCCTTCATCATCAACGTTGGTGACATTATTCAGGTGTGTAAACAATCCTAAACCCTATATAATACACTTAATGGCTGGTCGTTATGATATATCAATTAGGGTTTAAGCAAGATTTAGGCTTCGTTTGGGACGGCTTTCTATCATGAACTGCCTTAGTGACGTTTGGTCTGGATTTAAGCAAGAATTTCTATCCTGAACTGGTTGAGATATTATTTGGTTTAGTTTTTAAAGTGCTAAAATTGAACAGAAATGAGTTCTAAGGCTTCGTTTGGGAAGGCTTTCTTATTGTTTTCTAAAATAAATTTTTTAATAAATTTTTTTTTTTGAACTAGAAATTTTTGCGCTGAAAAACTGTTTTAAAAAATAATAAGAAAGTCGTTCCAAACAAAACCTATGTGTACTACTAAATTGAAAAATCATATCTATACTAAACTCATTCATTATCAAGTGAACATGATGTAAATACAAATTAAAATTCAAGCTGATGGCAATGAAGGCTTCGTTTGGGACGACTTTCGTACTGCTTTTTAAAGCTATTTTTTAGTTAAAAAATCTCTTAAAAGTAGTGGCCTAAAATTGTGGTCTAAAACGGCCTCAAAAGAAGCCTAAATGCACCAGCTATCTTCCAAAAAATAAAATTGTATAGAAAAATGTTTGCGGTTATCGCTTTATCATAATTCATATGCATGATGAGCATAAAATTTATATTATTCATAACTTTAGAACATACATACTTTATATATATATATGAATTGATTTCTTTTGTTCATCTGCAACTGGTTTAGGAGTTGGAAAAAATTGGCTCATTAAGGCTTCATTTGGGATAGCTTTTTTACTGCTTTTTAAAATATCTTTTTAGTACAAAAATTAAATATTTTGTTCAAGAAAATCGCTTTAAGAAGCAGTAAAAAAGCCGTCTCAAACGAAACCTAAATGATCATATTGAAGACAAATGTTAATAATGGAAATTATTTGACACTCACCCAACAGGTGTGGAGCAATGACGCCTACGAGAGCGTTGAGCACCGCGTCTCCGTGAACTCGGAGAGGGAGAGGTTCTCCATCCCCTTCTTCTTCAACCCGGCGCACTACACCAATGTCAAGCCGCTCGAAGAGCTGACGAGCGAGGAGAATCCGGCGAGGTACGAGGAGTATAACTGGGGCCAGTTCTTCAAGGCCAGGAAGAACAGCAATTTCAAGAAGCTGGGCAAGGAGAATGTGCAGATCTATCACTTCAAGAAGGCTCTTTTAGCCAATTAAATGGATTGCATTGCTCAGCTCGGTATGTATATGTAATAAGATTTGTGGAATTCTGTAACATAGATGTAAGCGTCTGTGCTGCTTGTTTGATTATGGTGTTTGAAAAGCTGGTCCAGCAATGTATGTGCTTGTAAAATGGAACCCCACAGAATAAACTGAAGTCTGAATATTTTAGTCTATATATGGCATAATTACAGTTGTAAATTTGGGAAATGGTATCAGCATTTACTTTATTCAAGGCTTTGTTTGGTTGAGTGGAAAGTTGGTGTCACTTGGAGGAGTAATTATTGTGTCCAGACATCGAACGCATCCAGAGATCAATAATAGAACGTCACGTCACCTGAGCGCTCGGTACCGAGCACTCGGTACCGCTCGGTATTCATCCAGATTTCCGGTGTTTTGTCCGAACGTAATAATTTTCCCACTTTTGGAGTTCTTTCCTGTAAAGAATTTTTTTTTGGATTATTTGTGTGTGGAGGAATTGAAAGAGTTTAATTTTTATATGGTAAATACAGGAAAAGAAAAAATCACTGGGCCTAGTCTTATCAAAATGATTCTACATGCATTTTTATTTGGTTATAAATGAAATCCTTAGGCACTGATAAATTACATATTATATTATTGAATTGGGAATTTATTATAAATTTGTGTTGATGTTAGGAGTCAGGATTGATGTTGCTGGCGGGCATTAATTTTATAAGTAATAACATGTGCTACAATATCGATTATGGTAAATGATGAAGTTTATAGGCATTAGAATAGCCAGATGACACTAGTTGGTAGATTCCTGTTCTGTGAAACTTGCAGATTCAACATCAGTATTGACTTGTTCTGACTCGATATGTGGTTAAATTATATCTATTAGGAGATATAAGGGGATATAATTTTTTGAGATTCTATCTGTGTCAGAGAATATTTTGATGCTTATAAGAAATATTATGATGGCTATAAGTTATATTCTGATACCTACGGGCATATTATGATGTTATAAGCACAAAAGGGAGTCATAAAAAGTCATAATCATTTGAGATTTTGTCTGGGTTAGAGGAGTGTGATATGAACCTCTCTCTAACATAAATCACAATTTATTTATTTTCTCAGTAATGTTATTTAAATAATTGAATAACAATTATGCTCCTATTTCATTTAGTACATTAATTTATTAGATTACATTTAACTAATTTTAAATATTTAGCAAAATATTGAATAAAAGAATTTTGAAAATTTAGATTGGTTTATATGACCTGTTGAGTTATTTTAGCTTGCTATGATTTTGCTTCTGAATTTCAGGCTCTGGGAAATGGTAGAAGCTTGTGGATTAACAATTAAGGATTAATTAGAGTTTATAGATGTTTTTTTTTATTTTAATTTTTGAAGCTGGATAATGAAGTTCTGATTTCAATAGAAATTAAAAACCGGATAATAAAGTTTCGGTTTCAAAAGAAATCAGATGATTAAAATCCGTATTTGCTACTTTTTTTTTTTTTTTTTGTTACGCTCCTTAAGCTAATTTAAACTTAAAATCTGCTCCTTTTTATAAATTGGCCTAAGGATTAATTAGAGTTTATAAATGTTTTTTTATTTTAATTTTTGTATATTCATGGCTAGTTCATTATTAATTTCCGTAGATTTTGCATGTAGTCATGAACTATAGTGTAAATACATTTTGATGAAATGAAAAAAAAAATTTTGTGAATGAATTTATTTTATCTATTTAGATATTTTAGTAGCTCTATATTATGTAGTTTATTCAAAATGAATATTTGAAGAGAATATGAAACATTCTGAAATTAGATTTTAGGATTTGTTTGTCACAGCTCAACACAATAAGACCTATACTAGTTGAGTTGGATTGTAATAAGTATTTATGGTATCAGAGCAATAATTTAAGAATAGATCATAAAACATAGGTATATTAATTGATCTGTAAGTCAAGTGGAGTAGTTTTAAAATATGTCTGGGTATTTATTATTGTTTGTTTATCATACAATTATGTTTAGTTGTATATTATGTGTGATTATGGATCTGCTATACTCAGATATGACAGAAAGACAGTTAGGCAGCTCCTTATATAATACTACTTCGATAGTGGTTCTGATACAATTTTATAGTTCGTTGGTCTGATAGCCCAGATGATGGGTGAGGTTATTGACCTCATTCTTGTCATGAGTTGACCAAACTTAAATTCACTTAATCAAATCCAGAGTCCAGTTCAAATTGAAAATTCCAAACCAAATTCAAGGTTAAAGGCCTATGTCCTATAAAATTTAATCAAATGACTCTCAATTCATGATCTATCAATTGCACATTAATTAGGCAAGTTTCAAGGTCAACCCTCCAAATTTGATGCCAATCTTAGGCCTCTAACCCCAGAAACTCGATTGAAACCCACATATTATAAAACCTTCAAGTATTTACAATATATACTAGATCTTTCACCTTATAAAAGTTGACATTGTGACCTTCTCCAAAACCTTTTGAACATGTCCATATTCATCATTATGACATGTCAAATCCAAAAATGCACTTTGTTGGATCTTATTTCATCCATAGTTGACTAGGGGCCTAAATGACCAAAGCACACTTTAAGGGCAAATTTGAAGCTTTCTCTTAACTTCAACATGACTTTTTCAAAATAAGTTATGAAACCTCTTCCAATGCATCTTAAACATCATTAGAAGCCCATTGGATTTAAACCCAAATCATGGTCAAGCATGGTTGACCAAGTCAACCCATGTTGACCAAATGCCCCATTAATGCTTTGAATGGGCTTTCCATACTAAATGGCCTTTCCATAACTTGAGACCATCTCCATTGGTCTCTAATTATCAAACCAAACATATTGAACTCCAAGCATTACGTCAACTTGGTTGACTAAGTCAACCAAGTTTGACCAAATGCACATACACTTGAACCTAGTTCAAACCTATTGACCAAAGCATTGCCAAGTCAATCTAGGGTCATAGGGTGACCCATTAGGTCCCTAAGAGGGTCCTCTTGAAGGTCTAACCTTTGGGCCCACTTGGGTTAGCCATATGGCTTGACCAAAGTGTCCAAATAAGACTCTTCATGAGCCAAAACCCAACCTAAACCAAATCAAATCAAATTAATGCTTGCATTGGGTCCTCCATGACCCATTACACCTACCCCAAATGGCCCAGCCCTTGGTCAACTCAGGCTAGGAATTGGGCTAGCCCAACGTGGCCAAAATTACCTTGGGCTTAGCCAATTTCCAACCTAGGCTTCACAAAACCAGAATGGCACATGCATTAGATAGTCCTAGGTCCCTTTCACCTTCCATGATCAGCCCAACCCTTGGTTTGACTTGGGTCAGGACCCAAGCTAGCCCAAAGTGCCTAGAAGTGGCCGGCCTACCCGAGCCACATTGCTTATGTGGGCTCAATTAGACCCAATTAAGCACACTATTGAGTTCAAGGTTTCCCCAAGCACCTTTCCACCTCAGTCTGACCCAGCTGGTGGCTGGCGGTGGCTAGAGCAGGGGAAATTGGTGCTATGTTGTCCCCATGTCACATGAGCTAACCAAAGCTTCCCCATGGCCAGAGCTCGCCTCTTTTGGGCTCAGAGAACCTTCCATGGTTGTCCCCTATAACTGGCGACCATCCAACGACCTCTTCAAGCGATCACGGTCGTCTGTCAACATGGATGAAGCTTGAATAGGGCATTCCAATCCAGAGCGCCTCATTCTCTTTTTTTTTATTCAAAAAGCCTCCCCAGAGCTTACTGAGTATTCCCCTAGCTTCCCCCACTCTCCATCACTTTCTAGAGGTTGTTTCGAGCAAACTTTGGCTAACTCTTTCCACCCTCCGCTCGAAGTCATACCTCTGATGCTCCTTTAGTCACGATGTCGAAGGAGAAGTCTTCGCCAACTCCTTCTGAAGCTTCTTGATAAAAAAAATTCAGCATTAGAGGCTCTCTATGAGGTAAAAAACCCAACCCGATCTCCCTAGCTAGATAGTCTGGTCAACTTTGAAGTAAACCTTCAAACCAATGGATTATAATCATTGAATTGAAGGTTTATAACCCCTGATCCTTCCTACAAATTGTGGGCTATTGGATTCACAATAGTAGAGTGAGAGAATTATAAATCCAAGCGGTGCACGAATGTCCAATACCCAAACAGATAAATGAGATAGCTTTGAAACATCATATATTTTTACGTGGAAAACTTGAAAGAGAAATGACCACGAGGTCTTGCCAAGATGAAAAGACTCTATTATATATAAGTGTGTTACAAAGATTGGGCCGGCCCTTTACTTGGATCATAGATTAATTTTTTCAGCATTTAAGTGCCTAAATAATGTCAAAATTACGTGATCTTGAACTCATTGTTCAATTCGACTATAAGCATGCCATGCTCAAATATCATTTGGTCATCTAATATATTCTTTGATATTTCCAAATATGCTTAAGATCATTGATTTAAGCTTAACTGAGCTCGAATTGGATTGTTTTTAATGTCATTGGATCCATTTTATTAAAAACTTTAATTCGACTATAACTTTTGCTAAAATTAAAGTCAAAGTGGTCCCAAATCTAATTTCAAACATTTCCAATTCAAATATGCATCATGATTCGTGCCCGCTAATGATAATTTTTCATTGTATCAATATCCAAATGTTAGAAATACATCATCAAATGCAGTCTTCATTTGCAATGTTACAATCCAAAAGTAAAGGAAAATGCATAACCCAAAGTGTACCTTTCCAACCCAAAAGTCAAATACCTCAAACTTGTTCATTTACAAAATAACATCTTGCATTAATATAAGCTTTGCTCACAATGATCTCATAGCTACAATTGTAAACCATATTTCTGGATCACATAAAGTTATATATGATCTACATCATTTTTTCTTAGGTCCACAGCTTAACATTTTGACATTTTATCTTATAGCAATGGCCCATTTAGTCCTTGACATCCATTATTCCCAATTGCATAACATTACCTGCAGAATGTCAAGCATAAATGTCACCTGATTTTGGCTTCGTTTGGGACGACTTTGTCACTGCTTCTTGAAGCGGCTTTTTAGTACTAAAAAGTCATTTCAAGAAACAGTAAGAAAGTCGTCCCAAACGAAGCCTTTATCTACCACATCTATATACAATCAACAAACAGGTTTCCACCCACTCTCAAACGTTCAACTATACCTAGCCAGTAAAATAGAGATAAAAGGACTAAGAAAAACACTAAGTGCAGCATTTTCTCACCATTTGATATCCAGTGTTAAAGCCTCAGGAGGTACCACAATAGATGGAAACTCTGTAAACGATATATTGGACATCAGATGGCTCCAGGCAGCAGATTCAACTATCATCAAAGGCCTGGATAACATCCTTGCAAAAACTGGCTTCAGATCTCTGCCTCCTTCAAATCTGCCAACTATCTCAAACCAAGACCTTTCCACAGTTGGCCTTGTTCTCCACTTGGCAACCTCTTTCCAGGTCCTATCATTCTCTGTGATATTTCTCTCCACTTCGACTCGGAACTTGAGTAGTTTCGACGAAGTGATTTTTGTTTTTACGAGTCGCGAAGATCGGTCATGCAATATAGTTTTACCCAAAAAACTATTTAGCAATCTTTCCGCGACTGCCGACTTTGAAGAAAGAGTGTGTGAAGAAACTGACTGGACCTGCTCATGGCTGAAACACTTATTGGGCAGCAATTCAATTGTATCAGGGGCTGGGAATGAGGTTTCCACATAAGCTTTCTCATCAGGAACCATGTAGGCTACCAGTGAAGCAGGACCTGCAACTCTGACTGAAACCAATGGAGCACATGAGGAGAGGCCAAGGGGCCAAAACTGGTCCCTTGACTGCTTTTGTTTACTTGATCTTTCATTTAGTAAGAAACCAGAATCATATGGGTAAAAGAGGGAGACTTCATCAGAACTATACACTTCAATAGTGATGCCTTTGCCAACAAGCACCCTTCTTAGGCCTTGATGGGTGATGTTAAGCTGCAAAGTAGGGCAAATCAACGATACATTAAAATTGGTATACAAGTAGTTCAAATTTGAGACTGAAGAAAGATAAATTGAACACTTTTAAGAGACCTAAGGTGGATGAAAGAACTGTGAAACTACCAATAATACATTGGATGATCAGACAGGATGAAGAAAGGAAAACTAATGTAATGGAAGTCTAAGGTTTCGTTTGGGGCGACTTTTTATTTTTTCTTAAAACAACTTTTTAGTACAAAAGTTGAAATTTTTGTACTTGAAAGCTGCTTTAAGAAGCAGCAAAAAAGCCATTCCAAATAAAGCCTAAATCATTCAAATTAAACATAGCAACTGGTATCCAAGAAACCTTCTCAAAGTTGTCGATTATCCAATTCAAATTAAAGCTTTGTACACTATAAATCATCATTGGTGCAATTGCACAAGAAGATATTATTTTGAATGCCTTTAATATCCAAAACAAAAATCCAAAATCTTAGCTCAAGTACTCTGGAGCATCTGATTATTTGACTGAGGATGTCTTCCTATTTCAAACCATTTATTCATGTTTAAAAAGGATTATACAATCAAATTTGTAGATGGTTCAACATCCTAATTAGCTAGCATTGGGACTATCAACATCCAGCTCTCTGGTTCTTAACAAAGTTCTCTTTGTTCCTAAGCTTTTGTACAACTTATTATCAATCAGCATATTCATAAAGATACGAACTATACAATTTTTTTCCTGCTGAACTATACAATTTTTTTCCTGCTCATTGTGAAATCTTGAATATATATATATATATATGAATAAATTTTAAAAGAAGCAGATTAATAAGTGAAAATTAGTAATAGGAGATGAATAAGGAATTAATTTAAAAATGAGAAATATTGGAAAACCTTTTTACGCATTTAGGAACATGGAAAACCGTTTTATGCATTAATGAAACCGTTTCATGTATTCTACTGAATGAGTGAAACGGTTTCCGGTTTCATTATTAACCGTAATTCCAATTCACGCATTCAACTGGGCTTTGAATTTCTAAAATTTAAAGATTGGGCACAAACTTTTGGAAGATCAAGGCCGAAAGTCTAAGTTTCTATGCGCTAAAGTCGAGCGAGTTAAGAATGATTTCAGCACGAAATGTGTGGAATTTTTGGGAGGGTTTTGTGATGTGTTGAATCCAAAGCATTTTGAATATAAAGTTGATAAATTAATCGACAGGTGTTCTCTAGATTTGCTTAAATACTGTTGTAATTGGTTTAATAATTTGCTATTAGCATTACACTATTATTGAATGTGTCAATTATTCCCATTAAACTATTATTGAACCAATTACAATAGTATGCAAGCAAATATAGAGAGCAGTTGTTAGTAACTTTTTAATTTTATATTTAAAGTGGTCGAAATAGCCGCACATTTTGCTTTGGAATTGACGAATCACGACACCCTCCCAAAAATTCTGCACATTTTCGTGTTGAAACCACGCTAGATTGCTGGATTTTAGCACACAACTTGATTTCTGACCTTCCTCGCCCAAACTTTAGTGCCCAATTTTCGAATTTTGTAAAAATTCGACGCCCGGCTAAATTCGTTAATTGAAATAATGATTTTTAATGAAACTAAAAATGGTTTCACGCATTCTAATTCATGGGTGACCGTTTTACAGTTTCATTATTGCGTAAAATAGTTTTCCATGCTGCTGAAATGCGTACGTTTCAATCTATTTTCATCAACACAAAAAATAATGGCCAACATAAGCCTATAGGTGGAAAAGCAAAGCTAAACAATTCTATCATTTTTGTCAAATATATTATTAAATTAATAAATAAATTAGGCACTAAGCATTAGTACTAGCCTTCATGCATATTATGACATTTATGAAAAAAAATAGCTTTTTCTTATGTGTGCATATGTGAGTAGCATTATAATTTTATAAGAAGGTAAAAGTACTCTGTTTTATGACTTAAGAAGTTTGAATTTCAAGCATAAGTCTAAAGGCGACTCTACTTATTACTTTGTGGAGACAAAATCATTTCCCACTTATGTGGTCAATTTATCAGTCAAATTAGTTCACTTTCTTCACTTTTTTACTTGTCGTTTTTTCTTACATGCAATTAAACAGGCCTTCAAGTGTAATGGAATACATTAACTCCATGAAAGCACTGCCTCCATCAAGTTTATTTAATTTCAAAAAAATATACACTTGCAATTTTTAATAGATCTGCAAGGAAAAATGACTAGACTGCAACTTGATCTAAACCAAATCAGATGTCATACTAGACAACTTTAACATAATCACTATAAAATCAGGGATAACATTTTCCCATTTGATGGTAGGCATAATCTTGAAGTGTTTTTACATTGAATTTATAAGATGAAAGAATTCTTTTAAAATTAATTTTGTCTGAATTTTGAAGGAATCATTTTTTTTTTCTGAAATAAAACCTACTTAGGTAAAAGTGAAATATAAACTTAAAAAATGATATTTCCATCCATCTATTATAAAAGATTAATTGCATGATTATTTTAAAAATTTTAAACAAGATGAATACAGCGTGTTTGAATATTTTATTAAGTTTGGAAAAATTTGTAGCAAAGCATTACTTTCCTAAGAATTACACTGTTTATCAAAAACAACCAAGATTCCAAGCCAACATAAAACCAAACCATTAAAACAAGCCACCAAGGTTGCCAATCAAGCCTTGGCCATCCGAGGCGCATGCAATAAAACTGTTACATCATAGTCCTGTTCCATTTCTCTCGCATCAAAGCAACAAAAACCGAAATAAATCAAATCACCACAACCTCAAAACTTCCAAAAAGGAAAGTTATTTCTTTTTGAATTTTCGTTTTTTATGTTTGACATTATTATTGAACAAGCCAACATATGCAACTTGAAGAAGACTTAAATCAAAGTTGACGCGAGCACCCAAATCGCTCTCAATAATTTCCTCCACTACTGCAGACGACATGTCATCATGTTTTCAATCACATTGCCTTACAATATTATTTCTAGCAAGATGGGCTAACATATCAACATTCGAGATAACAGCTATAAGCACATCAACCAGAGGCACCACCACTCTGGCATCACCCATCTCAGCCAAGGTTTCACGACTCCCATCAACTAAAGAGACAAAATTATCACCTGACATCTCCACAACATCAGCACAAGTAGGACTAGCTATAAGATTAAGGGTGCGTTTGGGACGGCTGCAGCTGTGGGTAAAGTAGGTTGTGAAATTGTTGTACAAAAAGTTGCTTCCTGAAGTTGTTTTATATAAATCATTATATTTTGTTTGGATAGCGTAACTGTAGAACTGCTGTGCTGCAGCTTAATGGGAACAATTTACCTTCATACCCTTATATATATTTAGATGAAATATATAATTTTTTAAAATTTAATTTTTTTTTAAATGTATATGATAATCAACTAACAATTCTAAATCAAAATTGTATCACTTCTTAAGTTGGTAAATTTTTTTTTAAATATATTAAAGCTGCCAATTTTTTTTTTTTTAATATTGTTGTAAAAAAAGAAATTTTTATTAAATCTTGCGAATCAATAATCACAAAGGCTAGCCCTGACTAAGAAATCAAACGATCTGGTAATATATAAAAGAAAATCTCAAGTGTTTTCTGTTGAAGACAGAAGATGTCCAGAAAGAGATCTTCAAATCTTTTCATTCAAAACCACAAAAAGTAGAGTTTGGATGATAGGAGAAAATTCCAAACATGGAACTGAAATTTCAGCAGTTATATTTTCTCAATCTCTCGAGATCACCCAATAAAAAAAATTTCAGCAGTTATCTTTTCTCAATCTCTCAAAATCTTTCTGTAGAAAAGAAATTCATAACAAACTAAAACAATTCCCACGGAACCCTTATCAGGATCGAAATTAATTTCACATATATGCTATCTTTTCATTTACCAAATAGATACATGATAAGGACTTTGCACTTCCATAATCCTACAGAAAGATAATAATAGCCTTTCTTTTATGATTTTGAAACTAAAAAAAAAAAGAAACAACATGCATTGCAATCAGGGGCTGTTTCTGCGAATAACTATTAGGACAGCTGCTTAGTATTAGGAATTACCTTTATTGTTATATCCAATAAACTGCTTACACGTGTACCCTATTCATCTATTTATACTAGACCTTGTACCTAGGAAAGTTTGAATAATATGATATTATTTCCTCTCTTCTATTTCCCTCGTCTTCTTTAGCTCCGGCTAGATTTCTCCTCCGGAGAAACTGCCTCTCGGTTTCTACATGGTATCAGGCCTCTCTCTTGCCCTCAAGAATGACAACCTCACACTCGGCCTCCTCCTTTGCCACCGACCAGCCACCCATCCCTCCGGCAGAAAACTCACCAATATCTCACTCCCTCAAATTTCTCGTCTCTAATCTCAAAACTCTCATCCCAAATCAACTAACCACCGACAACTACCCGATCTGGCGTCACCAGGTCCTCAAGCTCCTTCGCGCGAATGATTTCGAGCAATTTCTTGCTCCGCCCAGTCACTCCGGCAACTCGTCTGATCCGTCGTCACTAATCAAAGAACTGGCGCATCACCGATCAAAACCTTCAGGCGGCAATCTGTTCGACGATTTCTCCGATAGTATTACCCTACATCATACATCTCGATACGACTCATGATATTTGGCAAGTTCTTGAAAGCCAATTCCAGGCTACCAGTCGTTCTAAAGTGATTCAGCTCAAGAACGAGCTTCATCACGTCTCCATGAAAAATCTTTCAATGATCCAATACCTGACCGAGATCAAGAAGTTAGTTGATCAAATTGCCTCCGCCGGATCCACGATCGACTCTGAGGACATCATTTTGTATATCTTGAATGGACTAACTCCAGCATACCAGTCGTTCAAGACTTACATTCGAAATTCTCCCTCACCCATTCGGCTTGAAAATCTATATGCGATGTTAATCAGCGAAGAAATTCACGTCAATGCCGACGCCGCTCGCCTCTCTACCGACACCCTGCAACAGGCCG